CTTTCTCATAAGTTAGAAACATAAATGAATCAAGTGAATTGATTTCTAAAAAAAATTTATATTGAAAATGCACTTCAACTTGCACTTTGATGTTAGAAATTAATGCAAATTTTCTTTAGATTGTTTTGTGATTGCTTCACCACCAAAAGCATCTTCTCCACATGGCTTCATCTTCAGTAACAAAACATTTATATTCATCATCAATAGTCTCTTCGTTATTCTTAGGCTTGGGAATGGGGCGGATCGGGCCTGGGTACCCTGTATCCGTCCCCTGCCCACCAAGAGCTTCGGGTTTTCCCGTACCAGGACCAAATGGTGATACGGGTCTGGTAGTGGCACCAGCCCCGTTACCGCTGGGTTTTCGGGTGCCCGCGAGTCTAAGATACCCGCTACAATAAAATAAAATAAAAAACTTAATAAATGAAAAAACATGAACATGTAACTTTATTCTGAATAAACGATAGTCTGAAATCTGAATTCTGAAACTGTGAGCAACAAGAACTCATGAACTCAACAATGCTGAAATCAACAGCAACTTTAAATCATCTGAACTTCAAATCAACAAGAAACAGTCATTCTCAGCACCATGATTGTCGAGTCTTATTAAAAAACAAGAACAACTAGTTGACTAAGGTGAAACAAACTCCAAGCCATCCTAACTGTTAAGAGCAAATGTAACAACAGCCTCCCTTCGAGCAAGATGCAGCTTCAAGCCATCCTAACCTTGGCTGAGGCTTATTCCAAAGCAAGTAGCAGGAGTCAACATTCATCAATTTCAAGTCTGCACAAACATTCAAGTGAGCATACTTATTTCTTAAGTTCCTAAGCCTCACAATCAGAAACAACCTCGAGGTTCTTGCAACACAAAAGAAGATGATTTAAAGTTATACCTGGCTTGACAGATTCAAATGGATCAGTCTTCCTAGCCAAATGGTGATCTCAAGAATACCATTTCTAGACATGAAAACCAGGTAGCAAATCACATTAGTTCATCCTCCAATCTCAATTAATAGAGTTAGAAATTTTAGGAAAGGAAAGTGATTTTCTTACCCCCCAGGTTCTGCCTCCACCACAGTCGTATCCTCGACTGACAGAGTTGAGAAGACTCCCTCCAATGCCTCCACAGCAGCAGCAACCTCCGAATCTGTAGATAGAAATGTAAAAATATTATTTACACTTAAACAAAATTAGTTGTACTAGAATTTGGAGGTTTAGTTGCATGTTACCTTGTTGCATGTCTTCCATAATCCAACTTCGTGTGCACATCATAGATTCAACAGTTGAATAATGAAGCCTGCTCCGGTGAGGGTCTAACAACCTCCCACCAGAACTGAATGCACTTTCAGAAGCAACATATTTAATTGGTATTGCAAGAAAGTCCCTTGAAATTGCATGCAAGGTGGGATACTTGAGACCATTCAGTTTCCACCATAAGAGCATATCAAAGTTTGTTGTCCAAGGAATAATATCCTCAACAAGATACATATCCAACTCATTAGTAATCAAAGAACTCTTGTTATTTTTCCTTTGACTTACAAAGAGCTCAAAGTCAAGTTCAATCACATGGAGCTTATATATAGGATCTTAAACAACTGAGACAACAGGTACAAGATGGATATCATCCCAGTACTTATCAAACTTCTCAGACATTTGACTGGCCATTCCAAAAATCACAGGGTTGGGATTAAGACCCCACTCATTCAGTTTCAATCTCAAGTCACAAATCTTTGGGAAGAAAAGATAGGCAGTCATATACTTGGAACCAGAGAATAACTGAGTTATCTCACTCGGAGAATATTTCCATCTTATCAATCACAACAGATGCAAATTCCCAATGCGAACTAGAAGGAACAGATGTGTATTGACTGTCTCTCAAGCTCATACGAAAGAAAACTTCCATATATTGAAGAGCAACAGAGAGCATATGGTATGTGGAATTCCATCTAGTTGGACAATCAAGTACCAGTTTTTTCTCAAATGTAAACTTTAGTTGCTTAACAACTACGAAGAAGGTTTGAACCCTCTTAGGTGTAGAATTCCAATAAGCTATACTCTCCCTAATCAAATGTATAGCATCCTTGATTGCATCCAAACCATCCCTCGCAATCAAGTTCAGAATATGAGCTGAACACCTCATATGAATCAGTTTACCATCAAGCAACAGATCACTGCTTACCAGCTTATTTCGCATATGAAATATCATTGAATCATTGGTGGTATAGCTGTCCAGTGTGATTGAGGACAACTTACCATCAATGTTCCAATCAAGAAGTGAATCAAACAACCTATCAGCTAGCCTTTGACTAGTGTGAGGGGCTAGAACATACGTAAACCTCAACATTATGTTACGAAGCTTCCAAGAGTTGTCAATAAAGTGACCAGTTACTGCCATATACCCCATTTTCTAATTTCTGGCAGTTCACAAATCAGTAGTCGCTGAAATCCTGCCCAAGTTTCCATCAATCATGGTCTGATATTTAGACCTTTCAACCCCATATAGACTCAGAATATCCTTTTTCATCGCGTTTCTACTAGGGACAGCATATTGAGGTTGAAGAGAACATAAAAAACGTTTGAAACCCACATTATCAACAAGGATAAGGGGGTACCCATGGCCCAGAATCATCGAACAAAGTTCCTTCCTAGAAACCTCATAATTGTATTGAGAAGCAGAGAGTTGAGGATTTCCAGCGGGTTGATAGTTGGGGCCAAGTATTTTTTGAGAACATAAAAAACTTCAATTTATCGAGATTGCTCTTCTTCATCCTTCATTATCTTGAAAACCGTGACCCACTTATGGGGTTCGCGATGTTGTAATCCATGAACTTAATATGAAAATTCAACTTCATTCTCTCAGTTTGTAGGGGATGAGAAGGTGATGATTCTCTCATCTTTAACTAATTTTAGTGGTTTCTCAGTAGGCATTTCAAAAAACATAACTCCCTTGTGACAATACCAATAAAGTTAGATTCAACATTGTTTTCTATAACTCAGAGCTATATTCAAAATCTATAAAATAACCGCAATTGATATACACTATTTGGTCGAAACTTTATGTTTTAGTGGGTACAATTTTCTCATCGAATGAATGAGTTTGAAGTTAAAAATAATAGAAGACTAGAGGTAGATTATTACATAGCTATTATTGTATTTGATGTTGTTGTATACTTCTTATAAAAGCACTCATCATAGTCTTCTTCAACTTTTTCTTAACAAGTTTCAATTAATATGATTTGTCTAACCCAAAATGTTTTAAAATCATAGTTGGAACAAATGAGGTATAGTTCATTGAATTTGTGAGAAATTGAAAACCTTTTAACTATAGCTCTTAAAATCCATGCCAACTATAAATAAAAGAGGTTATGCACCAAAATCTCATCACTTTTACTTGGTTGTTTGATTATCGAACTAGAGCATTGTTCTATGAATTAGATGATTCCCCATGGGGAATATTTTTTGAGACAAAATCAGTAATTATAATAATGAATAATAGTATGAATTAACTTTTAAAAAAACAAAATAATATTGAAACAGGTACCGCAGAAGAAAATAATATGTTAGTGCCAAAGGATTGCCTCTTCGCACTCGTTGCCATGTCGTCTTGTCGCTACCTCTCGTTGCCGCTCGTGCACCTCTAGTCCCAACTCGTCGTCACAGCTCGCTGTGCCTCTATTGGCTCGTCGCCACTCATCTCCGGCGCGTGTCGGAGGAAGTGGCCTGAGAAAGACGGTCAGAGGAAGACAGTCGGTGAAAGCAAAGATAGTGCTGGAAAGCACAAGTGAGATATAGGGAGAAAAAGTATAGTTAATGTAGAGTTTGAATTCTAAAAGAAAATGTAATTAATATGAGTAAATTTGCCAACCCTGCCCTATTTCATCAATAGGCAGAGGGAGGGCCCTTTGCCCTTGTCCCAGGACATGAGTGATTTTTTTAGAGGGAAAAAATAACTCCACATATGTTTGATGGAGAATAAAAAGTAATATAATATGTTTGATGGAGAATAAAAAGTACTATAAGAATGTTTTGACACTATCATAACTCACTAGCGTGGGCCCCGACCATTTGGCCGGAGGAAAGTGAGGTATGAAATTTGATAATATAATGGGGTGTATAGCTTATTGTTGTATAGTTTTGTTTTGGAAACACGTGATAAAAATAGTGAATTTGAGTAGGAAAGAGACATGAATGATGCAACAAATCAAAAATCAGCCTTATGAACCAAAATCAAGTATCTGTTACCTTGTGAAACAATATTGTTTTTGGTAATATGATGAGGTGGAGTAAGTTTTATAGAAACCGAATTCCAGAAAATCGAATAAAAAATCGCCTATCCCACTGGTTCTCGGGAAATGAGCATCTCACAATCATTGCTAGCTTTTACTCGGCCCGTTGGCCGATTAATTTGCTTTATAAAACTTTCATCTTGTCATCATTGTGCTTTCTAGTTTTTTTCCAAGCCATGATAAAATCTAAAGAAATCAAGAATGAACAACACGATTTGGGATAGGAACCACCGTTCCTGTATCCCTAGAAAATGGTGGTAAACACAGACTCGCCTGCCAAACTGGTTTGGATTGAGATTTTTATCGGGTATTAGGGAACCATGTGATTATAAATGAGACTTGATCAAAACGGGCCAAAACTTGAAATTCGGCATGTATGACCGACCCATGCCAAACTTTTATTATTCTTTACTTTTAAACTTTCTATTTGTAAATAAAAAATAATGAAAGAAAAGAGATGACTGCAATTCACCATTTGCACATCACTGATTCGGGAATAAAACTATAGAATTTTGAAAGGAAACTGAAAATGTTTAGGATCGTTTTAATGTTAAAAATAACCAAATAGATCTTTATGTTTAGTTTTTTACTAACAAATACCAAACGATTCCCTATAATATACACTATAATTTAATTATTATGATATCAAATAATTACATAATATATATTTGAAATGATAAAAATTGGACTAATTGGGTTGGTCGAGGTTGAACCATTGAATAACTTTAAAATATATTATATTTTAGCCACTAAGATATAAAATAATAGCATAATATATATTATGCTAGAGAAAATAACTTGTTTTAAAATGACAAACCCATGATGTTCATTTGTTTTACTTTATGGGCAAATCCCGTGTAGGTCAGGCCCATTCAACTCTTTTATTTTATGATTAACGATTAGCTCATTAGAATCCATGCATTAGTTTATTGTTAATTTTTTTTTTCTTTTTAGCAATAAAAGGAGTATTGTTTTTTGCCTTTTCATATATATTTTACCACCACGGAGAAATAAAAGGACTTAAAGTAAAAAATTGACACTCCTGGACCCGTTTAAATCCGCATGTGTACGATAAGTTGGCCCGTTCCACAGAGAAAAAAAAATTGACACTCCCTATTCTACCCTTCTTACAAACGCTCATGGAGCTAGGAATTTGAAATGGGGGAAGAGTTTTTTCCTCTCTGCGATTATATGTTTTTAATTTAAAAAGATACAACAAATGTACTTAATGTGATTGGTTATGATCTTTGCTTTTCTTTAAAGTGTTCATGGTTTGAATCCTAGTAAGTATCTTTTTAATGAATAAAAAAAGTAATTGTGAAGACTAAAATGTCCTTCCTACTTTCACTCTAGATGCAGGAAATTTGAAATGGGGCTTCAAGTTTTCTCATTTGGCTTTTTATTTATTGTGTAGATGACTTATTCATTAATTAAAAAAATATAATTAATTTATTGGTTTCATTCGTGATACCACTATTCGACAACAATTTGGGTTATATTATCATTATGTTAAGGCTTATGAGAGATTTGTTGGATGGAAATGAATTGATAAATTATCTCAGATCATGGTGGAGACAAAAGTGCATAAGTTTTATCAGTCAGTATATGTAGAAAGATCATTTTTACATTAAGCTAGATCATTTTTACATTAAGCTATATTAAGAATAAGTTTCGAAGTCAAATTGACGATCAATTTGTTAATGATTGTTTTGTGGGATACTGAAAGAGGCTCACTTAAGAGTGTAAACAATGAATGTATTTTATAAGTTTTACATAATATGAAAACTCGTTGTGGTTGTTTATGCAAAAAAATAATTAGATTAGTCAGTTATTTCTCTATTTAGGAATGAATTATTTAAATTTTATTCATTTAAATTTTATTTATTAAATATTTATATATTTAAATTATAGAAAAGTATAGAAATAGTTTCGAATCCTACATCCGCCATTTATCTCATCCCCTCTGATTTCCCTTCCCATGTTCAGGAAAAGAAACAAAAGCGCCATTGATTCCAGCCATCACATAATTTCACACAAAAAGATATTCATAAGCTAACATTTATGCTCCATTGTTCCCCTCATCTTTTGGGGAAGGGGAGTGGTTTACAACTCACATAATACCAGACAGATTATGACAGCTCTCATCTTCTTATGCTTCCACACTAAACCAGACAGAATGTCCATCCCCCAGCCGTAGCATTTAAAGGACAGTTTATCTTGGGCTTGGGCTACCCACCATGGACTCTGAACCACTAAGCTAAATGGGCTGGACTGCTGCACTTATTCTATAGCTATACCACCCTTTTTTTCCTTCATTCCAACGACCAACGTAATATAACGAATGGGATAGGTGGTGCATAAACAATTGATACATATGGTTGCAGTCTTGCAGAGCTTTTGCCTGTCATTTGAAAACCAAATTGTGGCAACTACGGTCACATGGATACGCACAGTCGACAGCTCTCGCTGCTGAACGCCCAAAATACCAATCCCCAACTGCTAGAGCAATAGCCTGCAAATCAAACCCTTTTTCTTGGTTACCTTCAACTAACTAGCCAGACAGATATGCAGATTGATCAGCAACCAGAAGAGCAGAGAAACCATGCAAGTAAAACTACTAGTATTGAACTTCAGAACCAAGCTATGATCGGTCACCTTATTCCGGATGGCAGGAGAATAATCCGCAAACCAGGTATCCTGTCTCTCCGTTTGGCAGTGGGCGAAGCACGAGTTTATGAACATCCCGTTCGCCTTGGACATTGAGAATCTTCTTACGGTTCTCAACATTCGATACCTGAACCCTAGTTTGTTTGAAAGAGTGACTAAGTCAGGCTGATCAATCATCAGTCGGACCAATGTGTTCATACCCAACCAGCAGCTAGTCATGTTAATACCTTGCAGAAATTTTATCTGTGATGGAGTGCATTTTGCATTGTTCTTTCTACAACCATTCCAGTAGCCATGGGGATCAGCAGATGGTGGAGCTAAACTGGACTGGATCTAGCAAAAATCAACCAACAAGCATGCACATATACACTTCATATTATATAAACAAGTCTCTTTCTGGAATTCTTGGGGAACAAGATAATATTAGGTAGGGCTCACCTGCCACGAATCATAAGCCGCATTGAGAAGGAACAGCGGCGTTTTTACGGTAGCAATTATGTGCTGAGGGAAGAAGCACTGATGCAGCAGAAAAGGTGGCCAGTTCCCGCAGTTAGCTATTCTTCAAACTAGACGAATGCCTGAGCCAGACCCCAAAATATAGATGGAAATGGAAGAGAACAACTTGATAAGATGAAAGGGAGGCTGTGTTAGGAATGCCATACCAGAGTTGGATTCAGATGGCTGGTGCACAGACGAGGCAGATTCTTTCCCACCCCCTGTTAATGTTGCAGCCACAACTTCAGATTGCAACAAGGCTTAACTTAACTAGACTGGAGAGGTATAAATAGAGGAGAAAATCAACAGATATTGTGCCTGAGACCGTACCTGCAACTTCACTACACCACTGTACAAGTTCCTGAGAGTACGGACCCCAGCTATGTCGGGTCTGTTCAAAAACAAAAGCCAGAACCGAGTCGTTACCAACCAAGAAAATAAGTAACAGGCAATCCCAGTCCTTGAATGACTTGAGCGTGAGGCAGAGAAGTGAAAAAGAAACATGAATCAGAAGGGAAAGGTTAAAGAAACTTACGAATCAAGAAACAGGCCAGCATCACTCAGGCACTTCACTTTGGTTGTCCTGGGGAACAATTCCCTGAACTCGTCGCAGTGTAGAATAGCAGCCAGGCCCCCAGCCGAGCATCCTGAAAGAAGAGCCTGAAATGCAACCATGCACCCTCTAGTCACTTACTAGCTACAGCCAGTTAGAGGGAAAAGCGTGATAAATCAAAGAAGGCAGACAGAGAAAAGGAAATGAATGAAAAGAAAAGAGAGACCTGGTGGGCATTGCGCATTCCCTTTGACAAAAGATCTCGCATTGCAGCTACCCAAATGCGCTGCCCTCTAAATTGCAGCCGTGCTGCCTAAACATTAAAAAGACCAGAGGGAAGTCTCATGTCAATCAAAGTGCCATTCAATGTCAACAAGTAAGTGCGGTGCTAAAAGACATCAAATTAGGTAACAAGGGCAGGCAGAAGCCAACCTTGTTTTCACTGTCGCCGAGAAACGAAGCACCATCACAGTACCGTACCTTCACTCGATTCCAGTTGAAAAAATCTGTATTCCCAAACAAACACAGGGAAGTTAGCCAGGTGACTCTAACGTGGAAGTTCTACCAATTATCATGTTAATGTCTAAACAGAATAGAATACATATAGTACAAATTCTAAAGAGAGCAATGATGAGCAACAATAAGTAACACACCAGGGTTTAGTTCAGCTCTATTGCTCAAGATCCCCGTAAAGGCCAAGTGCTTCTCCATGTATCTAGATGACCCACGTCTTGTAGTTTTGCGGTAAACACAGGTTCTAATGCTGTTGCACCACCCTCCTCCCTGCATGCACAAGGGTAAAGGGAAACCAAATGAAATGCGAGTTCTTTTTCGCTATAAGCCAGAGCCATTGAGTTTCCATTACGAAATGCTACTTTCCAGCTTCACTCCAATTAGGATAAAACTGTTAGTGTTGTGGTATATGATTCACGATTGAACTTCTCCCAACAACTCGAGTTATTGGGAGCAATTGGTTCTTGACATGGTATCAGAGCCTTATGTGACCGAAAGGTCTTGTGTTCGATTCCTGGTGACCCCCATTTGTTAAGCACATGGTATTCTTGTCTTCAGACCTGTGCAAACTTCAAGCCCTTGTGAGTAGCTTTCGTTTGAGGGGGCGTGTTAGTGTTGTGGTATATGATTCACGATTGAACTTCTCCCAACAACTCGAGTTATTGGGAGCGACTGGTTCTTGACAAAAACAATCCAGTCAGTCAGTCACCCCAATGGTAGTGTCAGCTAGGGTTTATATGACAATCATGAGTCCCCTAAAAGAAATCAAACCTCCAATTGGATGAGCCAACTGTTTGCTCCAGAGCCATATCCGCGGTGTAAATGATAGCCAGGCAAAGTTCCATCCAAGCAAACTGTCAATATGATTCCAAAAGGAAGAAGCAAATAGAGGCTGGGATTGATTAGTACACCAAGAACTTCAAATCACTCCCTCGGTTGGTAACTTGGTATTGACAACAGAGAAGCAGAATAAGGAAGGGTGTCAACTAGCTAGCTACTTGCTGCTTTTGGGTTTTTCCCTATGTAAGAGTGAGAGAGGAATGAAAAGCATAGCATAGAGAATGATTACCAGCTCCAGTGGCCGCAGCTGCATGGATGAGGGTGAGACCGACCATCAGTGGAGAGTAACTGGCTTTGGATTCATTACCGTGAAACTTGGAGGAGTAAACAGCAGTGGCATTGGTGTAGATTAACGCCGCCTCTTCAGCTTCTTCATAAGCTTGCTCCCCAGGGAACCACCCATTCGCCGCCGGTATCCCGACGACCACCGTCCAGACCCATATCATCAAAACCCTGCTCCTCCTCGCCATTTGCCACAGAATGAACGTTTCAGATTCTCAATCAGTAGAAAGAAGGCAGGCGGCTAGAAAAATGAAGATGGATGTGTCTTGGCGGGAGGAGGAATGCCGCACAGAATTGAAGGGTAGGACCGGGGGGCGGCGGAGGGAGAGGGACCTGGCTGGTTTGCGTTTGCTCTGGCCCCTCTCCTGCTATGTGCTTGATCATCATATATATAGTTAACAGGTACTACTGGACAACACTAGTGGGCTGCAACTTTCACTCTCTTTCTCTTTGTAAATTTTGTAGTTTCACCAAAATTACAGCTCTTGCGCTTCGTCGCCGCAGTGAGCCAAGGTAAGATAGGTGCAGAAAAAATGGAGAGCAGAGCAAGAGGTAGTAGACAAGGAAAGGGGTAGAGTGGTAGAAGAAGAAGACAAGTAAGGGGAAAATCTATGTTTTTATAATTTTATGGCACATCTCCCGGAATCCTTCCCACAATGAAGCGTAAAAGGAAGAAAAAAAGAACAAATTTATTATTTTTAATTACACGTGGCCCTTATTAATTTTAGATGTAGATAAATTTACATGTAAAATATATAACAAATTTTGAAAATAAATTAGTTGGTAAGGCACTATCGGCCGTCACCAATGACTATAGTTCAAATCCATCAAATCAGTGACGGATACATGATACTTTAGGAGTGTCCCGGCCTCTCGGGATACCCCTAAAATTTGGAAAAATGATTATCCACTCCGCTGGTAGTGGTTTTGTATGGATAAAAAACATAATTGGTAATTCGGGACACCACTAAAATTTAATAAAATGATTATCCTATCCTCGATAGTTGTTTGCGTATGATTAACGAAATATAAGTGGTGGTCTATGTTATTCAAACCTAGTACACTGCTATTATTAATAGGTTGTAACTCGTTTGTTGTTCTATTTTAAACACTATGTAATAGTAAAAATATTATTCCTTATCCACAAATATTTTTAAAATCTAACAATTTAACTCATTACAGGCTACCCTAATTTGAATTGATTTTATTGTTACACGACAAGTGTTAAAAAAGTATTTTCAAATTTGAGTTACATCAAGAACATGGTTAGAAATTGAATATGCGATTAGTTCATGAATTACTGTCTAGTAGGATATACAGATTTGTTGAGCAGTGTAGACACCGAATCTGGCCTTTTGTCAAAATTTGTACCAGACAAATATTTTTTTATTTATGAATTATTTAAGTTTAATATTTAATATTTAATTTAGTTTAATTTTTGAAAGAGGACACCCCCTACGAAATTTTTTTGGATTCACCACTGCATCAAATATTCATTATTTAAGTTCCCTCGTTCAAATTTCTGGTTCCGCCACAATTGCCATGCTTATTATTTATAAATATAAATCGAATTCAAACCGAACTAGAGAGTAAGATTATAGAAGAAGAGGGGAGAAGACTGCAACGTGGTTGTGATAAGGGATGACAACAGGCCTGGTTTCCCTTAACCAAATCTAACCCAACGTAGTTCATCATAAAAAAAATTGGTAAAATACTCACTGAATTTTAAAATAACAAACTCAATCCAACCCAACGGGTATCCATGGATTTACAAAAAAAAAAATAGTTGTATATTATTTCTCCGAGCACCTATATCGCAAAATTACTGAAATTTTTCCTATAAATATATCTCTATAAAGACTAATAACATTCATAAATTATCTAATATTATTAGGTTTATACTAACATAAAGACAAATAACTAATAACATCCATAAATTATTCATGTTGTTCATATTAGATAGAGGGCCCGGATAGAATAACAACACTCTAAGTGTTGTTATAGTAACAACAAGGATAGAGAGGTAATTACACACAATCGCTAATAAAATAAAATTCAATAAATATATCCGTTTCGCCTTCTCCGCTTTACCCTATCCTCCGATTCCGCCTCTCCTATTCTGGACCCTCCGCCATTCTTTCTCCGTCGACGGCTTCGCGACCACCAGCAACAACAGCAGCGGCCACAATCCCTCGCCGACAATCGCTATCAATATGTGTCGGTGAAGTTGGAGAAGGGATCAGAATCGCCATGGCTAGCCTGTTGTAGCCGAGGCGAGCAAGGATCAGAGCTAGAAGAGCGATATCGACGAAGGAGTGGTTGCATGTGGAATCGCTGGATACCACATAAAATCGGCTCTGTCGTCGAGGAAATCGAGACTGGACTGCGACTCTTTTCTCTCCGGTTCTCCTCGTCCAGCGACTCCGCTGCTCTTCCCCAGATCTGCGAATTTGAAAAATAGAGCATCATTGTCAATGGTGACGATTTTTGCTTCCGATTTAATTTTTTCAGTGAAATTGGAATCATGATCACGAGCTTAGCTTCCGAGGCGGCGAGCTGCTTGGAGATTTCAACCGGGGTGTAGAAAGGATTTGCGGTGGTGACGACGACGCCGAGGTGCGAGGCAGCGAGGAAGGCAGGCGGCGAGCGAGAGGGAGTAATCGATCCAGGACTTGGTGCGCCAGGAATCGAAGAGGATTGTTACCTCCCGCCCCCAGTTACCTTACGGATTGATGAGGTGAATGATGGGGAGAAAGGAGTTGATGGTGAGGAAGCCATGTATAGTGAATGAGTGATTCTACTATTTTTTTTTTCTTCTTCGTTTTGTTCATCGTGGATGGATAATGTTGATGCCTCGTTTTGTTCATCTAGTAAGAACGTCGGATAGAATAACAAACCTTACAAAGCATACCACAATTATTTCGAAAGCATACCAGAAACCTCCTAATGCATATCATAAATTGACTAAAACATACCAGAAACACGGTAAAACAAACCATAAATATTTCTAAAGCACACCAGAAACCCCCTAATACAAACCACAAACACGGTGAAGCAAACCAGAATCCTCCTAAAGCAAATCACAAATATATTAAAACAAACCAGAAACCTCGCAAAGCAAACCACAAAAAATTCGAAAGCACACCAGAAACACAATAAAGCAAACCAAAATCCTCCTAATGCATACCATAAATCTCCTAAAACAAACCACAAACCTCACAAAGCAAACCACAACATTTGCGAAAGCACACCAGAAACCTCCTAATGCAAACCACAAAAAAGCAAACCATAAACGTCCTAATGCAAACCACAAATATATTAAAACAAACCAGAAACCTCACAATGCAAACCACAAAGTTTTTGAAAACAAACCAGAAACTTCTCAATGCAAACCACAAACACAATAAAGCAAACCATAAAAGGCATAAAAAAATATGAGCAACCAAACCATAAATCTCACAATGCAGACCATAACATCCGGTGGTCGTTGACCGTTGACCGAACTCCGGTGACCGTCAGTGAGTAGACTCCGACGCCGATAGGCATATTCCGGCCCCGGTGACTAGATTCCGACGCCGGTAAGCATATTCCGACGCCGGTAAGCATATTCCGACTCCGATAAGCATATTCCGGCCACAAAATAGCATATTCCGGCGATAAAAAGCATATTCCGGTGACCGGCGACCATTTTCCGGCGACCGGTGGCAGAATTCCGACGACCAAATTTTTGGGCAGAAAATAAAAAAAATATTTTTTTATTTTTTTTATTTTTTTATTTAAATAGATTTTTCATAATGACAATTATACCCCTGCTTTGATTTTACACTAGGTCAACTCATCTAATAAAAAGTCATCACAATCCTAGCTTCCTATTGGTTGGGGACTAGTGTTGTTACAATAACAACACAATGGGTGTTGTTACAATAACCGGTCCCTTAGATAGAAAATGACATCATTTCGTTTTTTGAGTACGTGGAAAGCTAAAACCTAACAAAATCCGTCCATACTAAGTTTTACCCGTTTTGATCGGATTGGATATCCGTGAGGTTGGATTCAATCACACCATCGCTAGTTGTGATGGTGACCGGTGGGTCTGGTTCTGTAAGTGGCTCTGGTACTATGTTTGTTTTGATGTGTAGACTCTCTACTATGCGGATGATCCGGCTACTTTTCCTTTGCCGGGTTTAGGGATGGCAACAAAACCCGAACTCACGAGTACCCACCCGACCCAACCCGGTCAATGCGGGTAAAATCCGTGTTGACGGGTTTTGGGCCGGGTTCGGGTTTAAACCCGCTACACTATTCCCCGGGTCGGGTTGGGTTTGGGTTTAGGTAAACTCGCCCCATGGGTACCCGCCCACACACATATAATTACTTTCCCGGTATATTTAATATTCTAAATAATATATCTTCCTTAAATAACTAATATTCTATATGTTTGTAGAGACATGTATAATTTGTTATTTCTAATTGTTTAGAATGAAGTTGATATTATGAAGTGGAGAGTGAAGAAACTTAGTTGATGAGGAAGAAGTTTTCAATTAATCTTATTGTTTATATATGTTTATTTTTAATTTTGAACAATTTGTATTGATCATTTTCGGTTTGCTTGTATGCTCTAAATTGGTGTTTTTTGTATGATTAATTTGTATGAGAAAATTGATGTTAAACTTTTATTTTAAAAGAAACTTGTTATTGTAAATTTTTACCACAAAAACCCACGGGTACCCATGAACCCGCGGATACCCAGCGAGTTGGGTTTGAGTTTTTCAAACCCAACAGGTTTTACCCCGAGTTTTTTTGACGAATAAACCCATGAATTTGGGTCCGTCCCAACCCGACCCATTACCATCCTAGTCAGGTTTCTTCCCTTCACGTTTGCAGTCGCAGAGGAGTCACGTTCCGGAAGCTACATTGATTGCGCAGAATTTCTTCGTTGAATTAAATAATAATGGCTGGACAGGGGAATGCTGGCCGGAAGGAAATACATCGCCAATTAATGCGCCCAAACCTTAACTTCTTTCATTAGTTTATTACTATGGAATTGGATCTACTTAGAATTGCGACGAGGATAGATGACACATAAACCCAAAACCTTTTATGTCCGTTAATAATTCGTACAATGCCAAAGGTTGCTCATATCCCATCGTTGATTTAGCAATTTATTCCTAAAAGCAATACTTCTTCAACCTAGAAAGGGAGATACTTCAATCATAGCTCATTATTAGAACCCCCATATGCTCTAATACGTTATGGGCTCGCGCAATATGTTTTTTTGGTAGAGATCTTCCCTACAAGGATTACTATGGCAGGTTGGAGATGGGCAATATATTGTAGCCTTCCGGGATAAATGGGTGTCATGAGAGAAATATATTACTCTATTGGTTCGCTTTCTAATCCTATTGATTCCTCGAGGGTATCTTTCTTTCTTAGTGAAACGCGTTATAATATTAGAGTGTGGCACTACTCCAAAGATGGAAAATACACCATCAATTCGGGCTATCACCTAGCTCTGGTCTCAAATCAAAAACCGATAGTCTATATTAGCTCTGAGATCTCCTCATTCCACATTCTCCATTGCGTATGTTTACTTTG